ACACTTCAACAAGGGCAATGCCTGCTGTAAATCTATATAATAAAAGCCTAAGCGACCATTATGGCAGAACGACCAGAACGACCGGTTGCTATGATGTGCACTGACCACCAGGGGGCAGATGTGCAACACAGGAGCTGCCCCCTAGTGGTCAGTGCATTCCTACAGGAGGAGTGCCACTCAGCCAGAAGCTGGGCGCACAGCTGGTGAGCACAGGGGCGGTGGTGGGAGACTCTCCCACCTCCACAGCAGTGCTAAGGAGCAGCAAGCCAAGCGGTAAGGAGCAGGGAGCAGGCAGGTGGTAAGAAGCATGGGGTCCCGGGCTGCGAGAGGGATGTCTGACTGCAGGCTTAGGCCTGATCCCCGGGAGTGGGCCTACGCCGGCAGGTGGACATCCCCCAAGGGCTCCCAGACTGCGAGAGAGCACAGGCTGGGCTGAGGGGACCCCCACCTCTCCAGTGCACGAATTTCATGCACCAGACCTCTAGTATGTATATATTAAAAGGAGTTTCCAGAGTCTCTTATGTAACACCTAAAATGTCCAGGAGAAAATAAAAATCACTCATTACCCCCAGAGACCAGGAAAATCACAATTTGAATGAGAAAGGACCATCAACAGATGGCAACATCAAGATGAATCATATATTAGAATTGTCTGACAAGATTTGTATAAGTTACAATAAAAATGCTTCAGTGAGCAATTATGGATTCTCTTGAATCTAACTGTAAAGCTAGATAATCTCACTAAAGAAATAGGAAAGATGCAATCATACATGCTACAACATGGCTGAATCTAGGAAAAACTATGCTAAGTGAAATAAGCCTGTCACAACACACATGCACACATTTATGAAATGTCTAGAACAGGCAAATCTATAAAGATTGGAAGCTGAAATTAGATGGTATAAGGAGGGACTATTAGTGAGTATAGGTTTCCTTTGGGAATGATGAAAATTTTCTAAAATTAGATTATGGTGATGTTTGTACAACTCTATAAACAAACTAAAAACTATCAAATTGTATACTTTACATAAACAAACTTTATGATATGTAAATTGTATTTCAATATAAATTGTAATTTAAGTTAATAATTAAAATTTGAAAAAGCAATGTAAGTTATCAAACTAAAAAATACAGCAACTGATATTTAAAAAAAGACACTTGCTAGATGGGCTCAATAGAACAGTGGAAATAACAGAGGAGAGAAAGCAATAAACCTGAGGACAGATCAATAGGATTTGCCCTGAACAACAGAGATAAAATAGACTGAAAAAATAAGCAGAGCCTCAGGAACCTGTGGGACAATAACAACAGATCCATCATCAAAGTCCCAGAAGATATGAGAAAGAGATTAGGGCTGAAAGAGTATTTTAAGAAACAATGGCTGAACACTTCCCAAGTTTTTCATGTGCTGAAAGAAAAGAACTGTCAACCATGAATACTGTATCCAGTGAGGAGTGAAGGGGAAATAAAGACATTATCAGACAAAAGAAAACGAATAGAATTTGTTGCTAGCAGACCTATCCTAACAAACTGGCTAAAAGAAGTTCTTCAAATATAGGAAATGATAAAAGAATCAGGCAGGAAGAAAGTGTAACAGGAAATTGCAGAAATATGGACTTCTCATAAATCTTAATCATATTTGATGGTTGAAACAAAAATTATTCATCACCTTATGACTGAGAAAAAGATATTTAAAATATTTAATGGTAAAAAAATGATTTCCTCCTAAGATTAGGAACAAGAGGATGTCATACTCACTACTCTTATAAGTTCTAACCATTATAATAATGCAAACAAGGCACACAGATTGGAGAGAAAGAAGTAAAACTGTCCCTATTTGCAGATGATATGATTATGTATGTCAAAAATCTCAAGGAATCTACAAAAATGAAAAGACACTCTGAAAAAGTGAGTACAGCAAGTTCTAGAACATACAATGCAATTACATTTCCTTTTTTCTTTTACATTTCTATTTACTAAAATCTAATATATAGAAAACAAAATTTAAAACACAGTAACATTTATAATTGCTTCAAAAATTAATACTTAGGGATAAATCCAACAAAATATGTACAAAATTACTAAATGTTGATGAAATATATCAAAGACATAAATGAAAGGAGAGATACCAAGTTCATGGACTGGAAGACTCCAAGTAGTCAAGATGCCAGTTCTTCCCAAATTGATCTATAGGTTTAATACAATCCTTATCAACACATCAAGGAGTTTTATGGGGCAAACTTTTTGACTCAAGGGCCACAATGGGTTCTTAAACTGGACCGGAGGGCTGGAACAAAAGCATGGATGGAGTGTTTGTGTGAACTAATATAAATTCAAAGTAAACATCATTACATAAAAGGGTACGGTCTTTTTTTTTTTTTTTTAGTTTTATTCATTTCAAACGGGCCGAATCCGGCCCGCCGGCCGTAGTTTGCCCACGGCTGGCATAGACCATCTTCTTCTAAAATGTATATGAGAAGGCACAGGGACTACCATAGCTAAAACATTTTTAAAGAGAAGAATGAAGTGAGAGGAACCACTCTACCAGATGATAAAGCTTGTTAAATAGCTACAGTGGTCAGCATATTATCTTTGGAGGGATAGACACAAAGATCAGGGGAACAGCTAGAGACATACAACTGTAACTAAGTGATTTTTTTCCCCAAAGGTGTAAAAGCAATTCACTGAAGTAGGCTTTTCAACTAATGGTGCTGGAGCAACTGTATTTATCTCAGAGAAATAAAAACTTATGTTCACACAAAAACCTGTACAAAAATGTTCACAGTAAAAATAAAATGTTCACAGCAGCTTTATTTTTAAAAGCTCACAACTGCAAACAACTCAAATATCCTTTATACCAACCAATGGATAAATGGTTAAACAAACTGTGGTACATCTGTACCACAGAATACTACTCAGCAATAAAGAGGAATGAATTATTGGTACATGCAACTTGAATGGATTTCAAAAAAATTATGCTGAATTTTTTAAAAAGCCAATCTTCAAAGGTTATATAATGCACGGTTCCATTTATATAACATTCTTGAAATGACAAAATTATAGAGAAAAAGAGCACATTAGGGATTAGGGACTTGAAGCAGAGGGAGCTGTAACTATATAAGGAAAGCATAACGAATTCTGTATCATGACTGTGGTGGTCACATGAACCTACTCATGATAAAATTGCACTAAACATGTGCATGTACACACAAATGAGTGCATGTATCCTTGAAATCTGAATAAGGTTGATGGACTGTCAATGTGTGATACTGTATAATAGTTATGCAAAATATTACCTTTGGGAGAAATGAGGTGAAGGGTATATGGATATCTATTATTTCTTAGGACTGCGTGTAAATATATAGTTATCTCAAAAAAAATTAAAACAAAGCAATGATCCAATATACAAGGATGGGCAAAAAGTAGGTTTACAGTTCTAAGAACACAAAACGGAGTTTATGCTTGTATTAGTATAATCCTGTCTTTTTTCATATAATCAACTGTAAACCTACTTTTGTCAACCCCTGTATATATCAAGAGTTACAATCATGATCATAACTTTATGAACAAAGCTTGGCAACTTCAGTTCAGAAATTATCAGTCATTTGTCTACTCAACACCCATGTTAGGCACTGTTCTAGGTGATAGAGATTCAGGGCTGAAAAAGCAGGAAATATGAAATATAAAAATAGCTCAATGAATGAGGAAGGTCATTATATCTATAATCACACATGTGAGAACTGGACCCAAATTAAATTTCTAACAATGACAGTAATTTTTGGAATATTATATACTCATTAAAATGATTATGAATACTATCTAACAGAATGGAAAATGCTTATAAAATTAAGGGGAATACAAAATCATCCATTCATTAGTATTATGATAATTAATGACAACTTGTTTTTATATGAATAAACTTTTATTAAATTTTAGATAATTAGAAATAAAGAAATGCAAGATAAATGCTTTCTAAACAACATCTGATATTATCATCTCTGTGTCATAGTATTTTCACACTTGTGTTTATTAAAAAGTATAGACATTCATTTATTTAAATTTTTTTTACAAAGTCAAGAACCATCAAATGAAAAAAAATAAGCAATGCTAAAGTAAATTCAGTTTTCATCAGTATCGGAATGGTTAGGTTCTGATCTTAGCCCTCTTGGAAAAATAGTGTAGGCAGCAGCTGTTGGTTTCCATTTAGTCAAATAAGTCTGAAAATGAGGAGGCCACTCCCTGTTGTAACTATGCTTATAGGAAAACAGCAAAAAGCATAGTGGGATGAGGGAGTAAGAGACAATACTGGGAAAAGAAAAGATGCTCCTATGGAATCATGGGGGTCAGGATCATAACTAATTTAGGGAAAAGTCTGGGAAGAAAACATTTGTGTGCTGCTTATAGTGTGATTAAGGCAAGATAGTCACCAATCCAAGTATGACCCTATCTACAGAGCACAAAACAGAGTGGGGAGTTTGTAAATTACCGGGTGAACTCTAAGGCCACACCGGGTAATTAATCACAAAAGGAGTCTCTTTACAGGGGTATAAAATGCATTTGGACACAACTGCAACCCTGAGCTCTGACAAATACAGGGCAGACCCTCCCAGGAGCATACCTGAAGACACATCCTTTCGGTCTCAGTACCATCTTTCACAAAAATAATTATTTTGAAGAAAAACAAAACAACTCCTGCCCTGTAACAACCTACTAACCTCTGCTTGTCAAACAAGGAGAAAGTTATCTCCCTCAGCACAAAAGGCATCAGGTGCTGCCCTCATTAGGAGTGACCCGGTGTGATAGCAGGGCACCCCGGACGCCCTGCTCCGAGAGGCCGCCAGGGATACCCCAGTCCCTGGACCTGCCTGCCTCCCTCTCCTGTGCCGCCCCCCAGCCTCGCTCTTTCCTGATGGCCCTCCGGGGGCCCAAGGAACAGTCACTGACTGTGGTGTTAACTAGCAACAGTCTTTTATTTCCTAGTCCAATGTATTTTTTTTAAAAAAAAACCAATACATTTCTTTTAAAAAAATACTTTCCCGGGAAATAATGAACAGTAATTGTCATGGACCTGTAGCAGACCCTAGAAAAACCTAGACAGGCAAGAATCTGTCCATAGAGCAGTATTCCAAATATGAAATTCATGGTTCAGAAATAAGTAACTATGAATGGGCTTCTCAAAGAAGTTTCTTTTGTTTCCCCCCCACTTCTTACTGAATTCTGCTTGTGTAAAAAGTTTTGATTCTGTGATGTAGGGACAGATACTAACCATTCATGCCCTTTGCCTCTATGTATAGAGGGAATGGGGAGAGGATGTTCATTACTTTTCTAAAGATGCCTATCTTTTAAAATAATGTCATTATTTAAACTCCATCTGGCACTTGAGTCTCTTGAAAGATTTAGGCATGAGCTAGAGAACAAACCCATCTGGACTGCAGTGTAGACTTCACGTTTTCACGTGCTCACATCTTTCCCTTGGCTTGGCACATCTTTGAGATCCAGCTTACTGACTAGGATCCCGGGACATCGGAGGCGGAGAAACAAGTCTTCAGGACAGACATTCTGGCTCATTTCACAAATCTCCGTGGCCAGGTAACAGCATTAACTTTCTTCTCTGTGCTTTTTACTAGTATCATGATAAGGAAAGTGTTTCTTTCCCCGCACTCACCCACCACCCCCACCCCGTGTATGGGGCATCTCACTGGCTTTTTTCTGAACACTATCTGCTCATGTCCTATACGAGGGACCCGGCCCGACTCTGGGCTGGCACCATGACCGGGACAGCGCCAATTCGCTCCAGCGTTGCTTGGCTGACGGTGTGGGCATGTGTGTGCTGCAGCCGAGGCTTCCTGCTGACCGAGCCATTGCTCCTGGGCATGACCTGCGGTGATGAGCCCCTGTTGGCTGTCACTACCAGAGTCCTATGTGGAGCTGGGACCAGGTGGGTCCCGTTAGCATAGATGGACGGTATGTTGGCATTGCCCGAGTGCAGGGAGAAAGATTGGCGCAAGTCACTGAAGTGGTTGAATGACTCTGTGTTTCTATGAGCTTTTGGATTGTTGCTCCAGTATCGGCTGTTGTAGGTATTAGAGGAGGTCAATGTGTTGTTCTCAGAGGAGGATATCTCGGTGTGAAATGCTTTGGCAGAAGAACATTTAGGTGGAAGATCATCCTCTCTGAAAAGGAACAGAATAAAGTTGTCATTGGGATTTCCTTCAGGTTTACCTACCAGGACTTTCTTCTACATTAAGGATAACATGTCTGTGAAATACAAATCCTCAGGAAAGGCCACAGCAGCTCTGGTGGCCTTGGCTTTAACATTCATTACCTCTGAGACAATGCCCTATAAATTTTTCCTCAGCTTCTCAGTCTCCAAGACTACAAAAGGACATTTCAAATCTCTCAAAGACTTGTGTTTTCCAATATAACTAAAAATAAAATAAAATAAAAAATCTGTGTGTGTATGTGTGTGTGGTGTATGCATTTGCTCTAAATAGGAAAATAGTCCATGAAGAATTCTGCTGAGCTAGCTGCTGTGAAATAGCTAGGAAACTAAGTTATGGATGTGAAGAACTTCAAGAAATGGTTAGAGTAGGCCTGATCTTATTGCACTTTGGGGTTTGAGAGACCATTGTGGTCGGCCGAAAAGAAGTTTTCCTCAGTAATCTTATGCTGAGATGAAATCTGTCCCTGCATACATAAACCCTTAAGAATTAGAAGATGCTGAGAGAAGTCATTAATTTAATTTAAGAGGTTAATTCATTTAACAGTTATTGACTATCATTCCACTAGATGTTTCATGTAAAATAGACACAGCTCAGATAGTCAATAAACCTCTGATCAAATGGGGGTGACAATTAGTATAAGAATATCTGCAAGTCTGCAGGGTTGGGTAAAAGGCAAAAGTAACTTATGTGAGGAGGTGATACCTGGACTGATCTTGAATCAGATAAAGGAATTTACTGAAGAGATGGAGAAAAAGGAAGGAGTATTGCCCAGGAAGAGGGTGGAGGCCTGAGCAAAGGCCCTGAGGCATGAGAGGATGTAAATTGGAACACAGGTGATCAGGGAAGTTATGGGAGGTTAAGACCAGTTATGGGAAGCAGGTGAGGGTCAGATGCTGAAGGACTGCATGTGTCATGCTAAGTAGACTGTAGGCATAAGTCATCAAAGCTTTTTCAATAAGGATATGATACGATGCAATCTCATTCTGAGCCTGAACCTTCCTATTTCCACCATATGCCAAAAATCATTTTTCTTGTCCTGGCCAGTGTCACTAGGTGGTTAGAGCATTGGCCTGTGGACCATCGGGTCACTGGTTCGATGCCTGGTCAAGGGCATGTGCCTGGGTTGGGGTTTATTCCCTGGTTCTGGTTGGGACACGTGCAGGAAGCAACCAAGTGATGTGTCTCTCTCACATCGATGTTTCTCTCCCTCTCTTTCTCTCTCTCTCCCTCTCTCTTCCACTCTCTCTAAAAAATTAATGGGGAAAATACCCTCTGGTAAGGATTAACAACAAAAAAATGAGTCACTTTTCTTTAAAGGTCATTTTGACATTGTTTTCTTAAGATGTTTATATTCTTGACTGAACTGTCTTTCACACCAAGCCATACTGCTGTGGCCTATCTGGGTATAGGTATGCTCTTATCATATTCCTTCGTGCTTTATGTTCTCATCTATAGTATGTGTCAATGTTAAACACATGTTCTAATCTAACTTTTCTACTGTGGCAGCCACCTAACCTCAGTAACCCTGGAGATCTGGGAGGGAAAGGGGACATTCTTCTCTTGTGTCCTCCTAGTCCTCCCCTTTCATGATCCAGCAAAGAAAGCTGACTAGTACCATGAGGAAAAGTGATAGCACTTACAAGAAAATATCCTTTAGCCATTTTAACTATGTTGGCCATCACAGTCATAAGATAAGCAAAGAAATCTTAGTTTCCCAAATGAATGGAAATATAGACATTGGCCAAGCGGCACAAATGATCCGACACACAAACCTTATTTCATTAGGAATGTCTTCTTCCTCCTCCTCTTTATTTTTGCGTCTCCAGTAAAAGAATGCCCCTAAAATTAGTGCAATGCAAAAAATGACAATAACTGCACCAGTGCCAACGGCTCCAGCTATTAGTCCAACGCTCCTGGGCTGGGCTGCAAAATATATGTAAGGTATATTTAAACAACAAAATAAAAGAGGGAGAAATAGTATGTACCCATGCAACTTTATAAACTAAGTTTACTAGAGAATCTTCTTAAAATGTACAAAACTGCCTAAAGTACTGCCTCCATATAAAGTTAAATCTCCCTTAACTTTCTGTACCCCAGTGGCTAGGACTGAGGCACAGCAGGCTTGCGGGTATTTAGGGAATGAACAGTTACCTGGCTCAGCTTCAGGAGAGCCACACCTACAGCAGAGCAGGAAAAAGACGGTGCCTGTCTTACCTGCCCGATCTGCCCCACAGGAACCTAGCAATCTGTCGGCTAACTTATCAGCTCATCCCAAACAGATCACTCCCTTTTGCAACTAGAATTCTAGTAACACAGAATTCTCAAATGAAGAGAAAAATTCTATACTCCTTATTTATGATCAGGGCATTCAACAATTAAGCTGCTATAAGGAATTTGGAGAAAATACAAGAAGGTCTTGTCTTGACCATGGCCATAGATCATCACAAACTGTATAGTGTCTAGAGCATTATACCATCAGAATTGATTTGATTCTACTGATTCTGGGGAGAAAGACATTTTGTCATAAAGAAGATGTCATATTGCTGAAGCTGAAATGTACACTAAATACACTTATAAAATATTTTCAAGAATGATTAAAACAAATGAATTTCTATTTAATCTTTAAACAATCTTAAAAACAATTCAGCATCACTCTTCATTCCCAGTCTCAGACCCAAAGTGGACATCGGAATGTGACATACTTACGGGAGATAACCTGGAGATCCAAAAGACAGGTGCTGGTTCCTATGGCATTAGAAGCCACGCACTGGTACAAACCTGAAGACAGCGCGCTGATGTTCCGGATGGTGACTGTTCCTTGGACCTGGTCTGCCAGAAAAATAGCAACCAAGTAGCATTTAGAGGACAAAAATAAGAAAACCAAAGAAATCAGCAGAAGATAAGACTATAAAAATAAACACGGAAGAAGTATCAATAGCTTTCTTTTTTGGCAGAGATTTTTTTTTTCATGAATTTTAAAAACCCACATCAGGACATCGCGTTAAAGATCTGTAGATGCACAGGGCTGTCTGTGCAGGCAACGCAGAGCGGAGCCTGGAGCAGCTCATTAGCAAGCACCAGACTGATTCAGGGACAAGCACATGGCCTATCAGAAAGGGGGTGGGCTGGTTCCTCAGTCCTTCACTTTACTTGGCCTGCTCTGGCATGGAAGCAATTTGTTGAAATGGAGTTAGAAAATAAATGTTCTTTTTGTCTGTTTTCTTTTAAAGAATAGGGAACGTTCAACAGTGTGGAACCATAATTTGAAAGCACACATGACATTGCACCCCACTCGGTTTTAGTTGGCAGCAACACTGTATCCCATGTAAGCTATGCAGCCGGACTAAAGTGCCCTTCAGAGGTAGACAGAAGTAAAGGTGTACATTTCCACTTCCATCCTCTCTGCTCAGTTCCAGACCACTTCTGCATGTGTTCTGCACTCAGAGTGCCTGGGCTGCTATCTGCCCTAACACATGTGGTCCCCAATGTGTTACCTCATCTTCATCTATGTCTTTGCTTCCTCATGTGTGACATGGAGCTACCAACGTGCCTCTACATCATGTCTCTATGAGGACTAAAGGAGACAATGGATGGAACAAGCTTAGTATGGTGCCTGATCATGCTTGCCAAGGAAAAATCCTTCCTGGCATTGCTTGGGAAATTTAAATTTTTCTGAATCATAAAAAAAAAAAATCATAAGGAAAATGTTGAATGTCTCCAAATTTTCAATACAGACTAATAGCTCAGGATTTGAGGTTGAGAGATAGGCATTCACAAATCATAAGTCACTCTATATTTTTATATGACTTATGTATTTTTAAATAATTAATAATCATAATAAAGTCATTTCTTCCATAAAAGTTCAGAAGTATTCTGTACAAAACAATAATAAATAGATGGCTTATGAATATACTATGGCAAAATAATACATTTCAATAATATGTAAAACATGATCTCAAACTGATATAAACATTTGATAATAAAAAACAGTAGAACTAAATGCCAAATTAAAGTCTACTAAATACTCAAAGGTAGTATCACAAATACTTAATATTTAAGCTCTGTCATTCTAAAAGAAAATTTTAAAACAATACAGCATTAAATGCACTAGTCAACAGGCTTGATCTTTGTTTCATGCCAAATTTTCCAGAGGTAGGAAATTGTATTTAATTTTTGTGGTAATGCTGAATTAAGATATAAATGGAGAATGGAAAGGAAGAGAACCTATGCCCATTAAGAGAAGGTCCAAAGCACCTTCAAGGCAGATGTTAGGGTACATCCGCTTCGTACTGGCTCATTTCTTTTATTTAACATTGAAAATGTTTTGTCTCTTTGGCCTGATTTTGCCATTGAAGTAGATATTGCTTTTGCCGATTCGGATTTTAAAGCCATTTCTGTTTTCATGTCAGTGTATTCTACAGCAACATTCCCATCTCTTTCTCTTTGCATTTCTGCTTTTGAAGCATTTACACAGAACTGAAGTCTACAGCAAATATTCAAACACTGGAAAATAGCAATCAACATTAGTGGGAGATATCTGAATAATGTGATATTTGGATCCCCTTTCTTAACACTAGAGGCCCGATGCACGAAAATTCATACAAGAGTAGGCCTTCCTTCCCCCGGCTGCCGGCACCGGCTTCCCTCCTCCAGCCACCGGCAGACACCCAGGACCTGGGCTGGCTTCGCTTGGGCCACCCACAGGCACCTGGGACCCAGGCTGGCTTCCCTCCGGCCCTGGCTTTGTCAGGAAGGACATCCGGAATGACATCCGGTTCAATTAGCATACTACCCTTTTATTATTATAGATTATTATAGATTACATAGAATCACATGAGCCTCTCCCAATGAGGACTGACTGGGCACAAGCCCGAGGCAGGTACAGCAGGGCAGGGATGAGAGGGAGCGGCAGGCAGGAGCCGCAAGCAGCGTTGGATTGCCAGTTTCGGCCCAATCCCTACAGGCCATGCCAAGGGACTCTACCCATGCACAAACTCATGCACCAGGCCTCTAGTATCTTTATATGTGTCTCCTCCATTAGACAATATGTCTCTTTAATTTTTTAAATATATTTTTATTGATTTCAGAGAGGAAGGGGGAGAGAGAGAGAGAGACAGAAACATCAATGATGAGAATCATCGCTCTGCTGCCTCCTGTACACCCCCTACTGGGGATCGAGCCTGAAACCTGGTCATGTGCCCTGATGGGGAAATCAAACCATGACCTTCTGGTTCATAGGTCAACATTCAACCACTGAGCCACACCGGCCAGGCGATAATATGTCTAATTGCATTTATGTCTCTCTACCTTCCATAATACGCTATCCTTAAGTAGTTGTACAGAATAAGGGTTGTATCTATTTGTGTACATACACACACATCTTTAAAGAATGGAAGAATGTACAGAAAAACAAATACAGTTGTGATAACCTTAATTTTTTAAGAACAGGGAGTACATCCCATGGGACTTGCTCTTGTCTTCAGTCAGAACGATAAAGAGAAAAGTAAGTGCCTGTTCATTCAGCAACTTCAGTGGGTGAAGACTTTGTTACTCTCCTAGGAGAATTATGGAAACACTCTCCCTGGGGAGGGGGTCAACAAGGGAAGTTCAGGAAGGAGAATCAAGACACCTGAGGCTCCCTAACACGGAAGAGGAACAGTAGTTCTTTCTATCCACAGACCCTAGGCAAGCCCAGTGTCCTCCCCAGACCTCAGGCTTCTCCCTGTAACATGCGAGTGCTGGACTATGGTGATGCTTAAGATACCCTCATGCTCCATCTGTGATCTCCACACAAAGTTCTGCAGAGTTCTCAGCAAGAAGGAGAGCTCATCATCTCTCTCCACTGTGCTATTCAATTATACGTAAAAGGATGAGGACAACACAGGATTCCTTAGGAGCCATGAAGGAAAAAGGCATAATTTATAAACAAAAAACAAAAAAAACAAAACACTGAAATTATCAGTAGAAGGGATAGGGGAGGATAAAATATAAAACAAAATATTAGCAATCTATCTAAATTTATCCATAATCACAATTAATATAAATGGATGTAATCAAACAATGGACAAAGGCTCTCAGATTGCAAACTGAAAACCAAACTAAATCTAGACACATGCTATATACAGGAGATACACCTAAAACATAAAGCAAGGACACCTGAAACATGCCAGCAAGAATTAACCAAAGAAAGCCACAACGGGGAAAACATAGCCAGTAGTTTTTGAAGTCAAGATTCCAACCACATCCTCTAACTCCAGAACCTACCCTCTAAGATACACTCTTCTGCTTTGTATGCAGAAACAATTTGATGCTGATATGTATATAGACTTGACAAAAAAATTTACTAGAAAAACAGGTACAGAAAAATAAAAATAAATTTATACCATTAGAGAAACTGAATCAATAGTCAAAAATCCACCAACAAAACTTAACAGCAAGGCAAAGCTTAGGCAAATTCTATAAAATAATCAGATAATCTCTATCTTATTCATACTGTTGCAGAAAATAGAAAATGAAGAAAAGCCTCCCAACTCATTTTGAGGCCACTGTATAATGTGATACTAAAATTGAACCAAGGACAATAGAAGGCAGAAAACTCATAGGCCATTCTCCTCACTTATAATCACAGATGCAAAAATTCCATTAAAATATTAGGATTCTGAATGGAGCAGTTTGTTTAAAAATAATCACAAACAGACTTTATTTCAGAAATGTAAGGATGGTGCAATGTTTGAAAATCTATTCATGTAATTCACTTACTGACATTTTGGTCTGGATAATTCCTCATTGTGGATGCTGTCCCATGCATCATAGGACGCTTATTAGCAGCAGTCCCGGCCTCTACCCACTTAGTGGAACCTGGGCCAGTTGTACAAGCCTTAGAAGCACAGACCAAAGGGCTACATTTTGCTTGAAATAATATCAACCTTAAATACAGTTTTCACTTACCTTAGAATTCAAAAGTATATACCAAAAGGATAATACTGAATCCACAATTATTTTTCCATATGAAAATGAAGTGTACCTCCTAGGATACTGGTTCTAAATCTACTCATCTCTTGACTATCCACATATGAACTATATGAGGACAACTTTTGGGTAACTTTTATTTTGACATAATTTTAAACTTACAGAAAGTTGCAAGACTGTCACAAGGAACTCTATATATTGTATATCATCTACTCAGATTCAACAACTGTTCATATTTTGCCCTATTAGGTTTATAATTTTTTCACTAAGCATATAAATATTTTTATGAGCCATATAAGAGTGAGTTGAAGCCCGGCCATGGTGGCTCAGTGGTTAAGCATTGACCTATGAATCAGGAGGTCAAGGTTCAATTTCTAGTCAAGGCGCATGCCGAGTTAGGCTGCAGGCTAGGTCCCCAGTGGGGGGAGTACAGAAGGCAGCTGATCCATGACTCTCCTTCCTCATCTCTCTCTCTCTCTCCCTATCCCTTCCTCTCTGAAATCAATAAAAATATTTTGTGTGTGTGTGTGTGTTTAAAGAGTGAGTTGAAGGCATTGGGCCTCTTTACAACTAAGTACTTAGTATTTCCTAAGAACATTCTTCACACAATTACAGAACAAGCATCCAAGTCAAGAAATTTAACATTGGTACAACAGTATTATCTAACCCACAGTTTATACTCAGATTTCATCAATTGTCCCAATAATGTCCTTTTTGGCTATTTCTTCCTCTGTCCAGATTCTAATTCAGAATTCCGCACTGCATTTAATTGTTTTATCTCCTTAGTCTCTTCCCGCCTGCAACAGTTTGTCTTCCCTTTGGTTTGCTTGATGTTTCCTCCTGATTGGGTTCAGGTTGTGTTTTTGACAGGAATACCACAGCAATGATGTTATGTCCTTCTCAGTGTATATATTAGGAGGCACAGGATAAGAGCTTCTAACAATATTAATAATGTTCACTTTGATCACCTGGTTAAAGTGGTATCCCACCAGGTCTCTCTACTATAAAGTTACCGTTGACCCTTGAACAACACAGGGGTTCGGGGAACTGACACCCCCACCCCGCCCAAGCAGTAGAAAATGTGCATATAATTTTTGACTCCCCAAAGACTTAACTACCAGTAGCCTACTGTGGACCAGAAGCCTTACAGATAACCTAAACAGTCAACACATATTTTGTATGTTATATGTATTATGCATGGTATTGTTACAATAAAGAAAGCTAGAGAAAAGAAAATGCTATTAAGAAAATCATAAGGAAGAGAAAATACATTTACAGTATTTGTTGAAAATAATCTGCAGGTAAGTGGATCCCTGTAATTCAAACCCTTGTTGTACAAGGGTCAACTGTATTATTTTTTTCTGTGCAACTAATAAGTAATTTGTGGAGACATATTTTGGAACTACGTAAATATCCTGCTCCTTATCAAACTTTTGTCCACTATTTTGATATCAGTGATGGTTTTCCTAACCCCACCATTCCTTCTATATACATTATTAGGTATTCTACTATTAGAAAATGCTTTCCCTTCTCCCCCATTTTTTATGTATATCAGCAGAGATCCAGGTAACTCATTTTATTCAATGGATTATGTATTTATTTTAATGTTCAAATTGTCTCAGATTTGGCTGGAAGAAATGCCTTCAAGCTGGCCCCTATACACAAGGTCAATGCTAATCCCCACATATTATGCGCCTGTCACTAATCAGACATCTGGGGTGCTCTCCCCTGATGTCAAACATTCTTTTCTCAGAGATGCATCCTGAGTTTATATTAAGTAACTGCAAACATATTAGTAAAGTAAATCTGAAAAAACTGATGTTGAGATTAAATGTTATTTTGAGATCTACTTTATTTATGTAGCTATAAAGAGGTAGACTTAAAATAAAACTCAGACTCATGTAATGTGCGTTATTATGAAACAAGAAATTATCTAAAGTAATTCCGGTAACTGATCCAGAGTTTGAATTATAAAAGACAAACATTTTCATCTTTGCATCCCAATTCTCTTTTATACTCAAAGAATCAAAGAATATTCAAGTTGCAAAGAAAATATCAAAAAATGTGCCGTAGCTGGTCTGGCTCAGTGGACAGAGCATCAGCCTGCAGACTGAAAGGTCCCAGGTTCGATTCCAGTCAAGGGAACATGCCTGGGTTGCAGGCTCAATCTCCAGTAGTGGGTGTGCAGGAGGCAGCCTATCAATGATTCTGTCTCATCATTGATGTTTCTATTTTTCTCTCCCTGACCCTTCCTCTCTGAAATCAATTTTTTAAAAAATTTGACTGATACAAAGGTATGGAAAGTTCTTTCTACAGATATTTCACAACTTATATACAAACAACCACTTTTACATGTTCATTTGTATTCCAAACTCAATCCAGTATTTCAAAGAAATGTTACAAAATAGATCATAAAATCTTAAGATGGACAAGATCATCTTCAAGATACTGTTTAACCCCCTTATTTTACAAAAGACAACACAGGCCAAAAGAGGTAAACTACCACAGAAAACTGTCACTGAAAAAACCTACAATTTAAATATGATTTCAGGATTTGAAGACAAGTTCTATTTCAAACATACCACTTACAATGGTGAGATCAACAAGTTAGTACAGAAATAAAGCTATTTAACCCACAGTGTGGCTAAAAATTTAACCAATAAAAAAATCAGTAGAGAACAACAATACTGCAGTAATCATTATTAGACTAACAAAAATATTATGTTAAAGAAATGTTTTAAAATAATGAAATTTGGACTAAGTTAACTTAAAGGTGATGGGAGGCCCATGATATTTCTGTTGTGATTCTCAAAGAAAACTTACAAGCTCTTTAAGAAGTTGGTGGTCCTAGTTCTTTAATATGTCTAACTTCACATACAACTTAGGACTTTCCTTTTCCATGGTTCATACTACTCAGGCATAACTAAGGTTGTTTTAGATCTCTCCATTAACTGCCAATTCTTTAAGATTTTTACATCTGCCCTGAAAATGCTGCAGGAAGCATGTTCTGTATTATAGATGATGCAACACCCAAGATTGCTAATTCCTAATTTTTTAAATAGATTTTATGTATAATTCTATAATTTTCCTCATTTTATTTCATACATTTTCCTCAATTTTTCAGGGGTGTTTCTTTTAATATCAAATATAAATAGCTGGATTGACATGTAGAAAACCATCAGTGATGTTCATGCCTTCCCTATGTTTACCTGTCTGGTGTGATCAACTCCTGGATGATCGGCGGGGCCTTTTCCTGTTCTCTTTCCCATATTCCTCCTCTAATTAGACATGAGGCTGCAAACAGGATGATTAGCCCTTCCATGACCATGCAGATGTTCCTCATACTAAAGTAGGCAGTTGTGTCTCAAGTAGGAAGTGGATTCTCAGCAATGAACTTCAAGGATTATCTTACAGTTAACAATACAAGGAAGCTACCATTGAGCTATTTTAAAATCTTCACTATGATGGAACAGAATTTCCATATATAGTTACCACTGAATAATCTACATTTCATAAAACCAGCAATGAGAAGATATAATAAAATGTTTTGTTCTCTTTATAGTTGAAAACACAAAATGATCCAGATAGCTTTTTCGGCAGTTACAAATACTGTGTGTGTTTTTTAAAAATCTATGAAAGCTATTACTTTGTGAGTCTTAGAACCAAAATTTTCCACAATAACTAATTAAATGAGTAAAGCAACGCTCTACATACCCTGAGTGGCTGTTGGAGGTAGTTTGAAGGTATTGTCTAACTTCTCCCAAAGGTAAGTTGGTCGAGGAATGCCTTCCTCAGAGCTGCAGAGCAGGATGACATCGCTGCCCACATCCTGGGATCCTTGGATTTGGCAGTGAGGGGCAGAAGGGGGAACTATAATAGGAAGAGTAAGCAACAAAGTATGAAATCACTACAAGCCAAATGATGACAGAGGTGAGATCCAACATTCAGTACACTAGAACCTCACTGCTTTTGGGACACATACCAGGATACTAGCTGAGTGAAGCCTGTGACAGTCATGTACTATTCACAGGGCTTGGGCATAGGTGCCTACAACTTCAGTTAGCAGGGAACAAGTATGCAAAAGGGGCTACACTCTCTGGCCACATTTTCAAAGTATCTTATGGACTTGCTTTCACCCTGCTTCCTAAAAAGAATTCTTGAGATCCTTTGTTCAACATATTGCCTTTAAAAACACTGCTGAATACATATGTTCACAGCAGCATTATTTACAATACTAAAAGGTGGAAACAACCCAAGTGTCTATAGATAGATGAACGGGTAAGTGAAATGTAGTTATACATACAATGAAATATTATTTAGACCTGAAAAGTAAGAAAATTCTGACACGTTACAACATTGATGGACCTTGAAGACATTATGCTGAGTGAAATAAGCTAGTCATACAAAGACAAATTATGATTCCACTTATATGAGAAATCTAGAGTAATCAAATTCATAGAAACAGAAAGTAGAACAGTGGTCTCCATCAGCTGGGGGTAGAGTGGCATGTTGTTTAATGGGTACAGAGTTTTAGTTTTGCAAAGTGAAAGTAGTTATGGAGATTGGTTGCACAATAATGGGAATGTACTTAACACTACTGAACTGCACTGTAAGTGTTATGTTACATGTATTTTACCACAGTTAATTTTTTTCATTACTGAAATAGTCCACTTGTAGAGAAGATATCTCAAGGGAGAGCGACCACTTACGCTGCCAGCTCCACTCTGGCTAAGATCACCTCAACAAGGTCCTTTATCACTTTACAAACAAAAACCAAGCAGACCTTCTTTATACCTAAGCTGCTTTGTGGTAGGGGAAGTTATGGTAAGGTTCAAGTCTACCTACTACTTGACAGCAATACAGTGCACATTTTCTAATCATTAAGGTGGATGAGGACACAAGGATCATGAAATAAAAAAATTACTGGGGGGAAAAAACACTAAAGGAAGAAGGTGGTGATTCATAGCAAAAAACAAACAAACAAACAAACAAACAAAAAACAACAAAAAACAAGCAAGCAAAAAAATATAAAGAAAGTAAGCCCATGGCTTGGAGTCCCTTATTAGGAAATACAGGCAGTAGAGATTAAGTCCAAGTAATGATGTACTTGTAATGCTTTTCAGTAAATGTGTTCCATCTTGCAAAAATGAATGAATGAATGAATGAATGAAAAATAAATGCAGTACACAGAAGAACCAGGAAAGAAGGTGGGTGGAGGAAAAGAGAACAATGAGAGTAACCTATAGGTAGGAAGAGTAAAAAAATATCAGGGTACCCTACCTGCTATGATAGGATAAACCAAACACCTCAGTTTAGTGCCTTCAACATTGCCACTGTGACGCTATGAGGGGAAACCAACATAATTCTTTGAAGGCAGCATTAACTATAAAATAAATTAAAGGCTTTGTTCCTTCCTTTAAAAAAATGAAAAAAATAAACTTGGAGAATGTGGGAAGCTAGTTATCTAACTTACAGGCATAAGCATCAAAATAATATTAAATTCCAAGTATTCAGTACTCAAGAGTACCTAAAAGCCTCCAATTTTAAAATATTAGAATAAATGATACTTCTAGGATAGAATTCTCCAACCTGGCTCTTAGTTTTCTTAATCTGTTTGAAAACTGGGAGGACAAGGCACCAAGGCTATAGCATATCCCAGTGATGGCGAACCTTTTGAGCTCGGCGTGTCAGCATTTTGAAAAACCCTAACTTAACTCTGGTGCCGTGTCACATATAGAAATTTTTTGATATTTGCAACCATAGTAAAACAAAGACTTATATTTTTGATATTTATTTTATATATTTAAATGCCATTTAACAAAGAAAAATCAACCAAAAAAATGAGTTCGCGTGTCACCTCTGACACGCGTGTCATAGGTTTGCCATCACTGGCATGTCCTCACCCAAGGAAGGAAAATGTCAAGAACCCCCGACACTGGTGTCCTCAAGTGACTCAATAATGGAAGGGATGGGGAGAGAGCTTGCCAAGGAGCATGGGAGCAAGTTCTGAGTAGGATGAAGGACCATCAAAAGCATCAGCCTTTTCTAAGTACTTCCTCGGTCTCCCCAAATGAACTGCACTTAGCCCCTTCTGCCATAAGCATCCATTTCAGAGGCAGTGTTTTACTTCAGAGGCAGTGGAACTGAGAAATAAAACATGATTGAGAATGGATATAATTAAGTATTAGATAGTCTAACTTGCCAGTATAATGGAAATAATAATGATTTGAGTCAAGAGACCTATATTTTAATCTAAACTTTATTGTGCTTCTTGTCTATATAACCTTGGAAAAGGCCCTAATCTATTTGGTCTTGGTATTAAGACCAAATTAATCATATAACTTATCATTTAAATAAGGATACTTTTGAGAGTAAGAGGAGGTATCATTAAAATCATTCCAGGATAAGAAGTGTAAACCAACAATTGGTGAGCCTGCTCAGAGTTACACAGACATGATGAAGTAGTTAACTATTTTTACATGGGCTGAAACTTCCGCTTCATACTCATAAATAATTCTTGATTTAACTTGCTCTCAACGATACATCCTATCCTGCAGAATCCTAAGGAAAGTGAGAGGCCACTTGTGATGGTATTGTATATCATCTGTATCCAGGAAGTGAACTTTAGAGAGCTACTAAAATGGAGTGTGGCGGGGGGCGGAAAGCAGAGTGTACGTGGGCTGGCGGAGAGCTGCCATGAGAAGGACACAAGCAGACTGTGCGTGTAGGACAGGCAGAAGTAAACGCGCTTGAGAGGAGATTTGTAAGTAAAGTCCAAGTGCTTGGGACATTTGCTATCACTCACCTAAGACTGTGAGGCCAGTGACCCCAATGTTTCTGCCCCCTCTATCCGGAAGGTTGTTAACCAAACACTGGTAGGTGCCAGTGTCTGATAGCTGAGTGTTGTTAATGAAGATAGAGACATTGGTGGCTGGCATGGTGCCTGCAAATCCTACCCTGCCATGGAACTGAGGGGCACCATCAAACATCTGTCCACCCTGATACAGAATGACCTGCAAAAGAAAGCAACGTCAATAAACTGGCCACTGCATCTCCTGGACACATAACTATAACTACCTAGTAAACAGTAGACGGCACCAAACATTAGAAAACTTTATTTCTAACTTAGAGTTGCCACCAAGTTCTGACGATAACACCTGTCTGTAAGTATGTAGGGATTCTAAATTCTTACATACCAAATTAGAATAAACGTTATCTCCTTACCTAACTCATCAGAATGAAGAAAACATCTTTATGCTATGCTACTATCAGCCCATAAATATTTTTACTAGTTCAAAAAATTAAATCCAAATTAAAAATTTTTTTTAATGAGCACTGCTATTCTCATGCTTACTAGGTCACAAAATAGATCACAAGTAATGATTGAATATACATGAGTGTCATAAAAGGGAAGGAGAGTTATAAGCCCACGATTGCTGTTCTTATGTCAATTTCTATTATCAAAGTTAACTATTCATGGGAGGGGACTCAGAGGAGTGGTGCTGCAAAAAGCCCTTAGGTCTGAGAGTGGGGGACTTGGTTCTATTCAACTCTACCAGTAAATGTTTGCATAACCGTGACCAAGTCTTTCTTTGCCTGTTTGACTCAATCATTGACTCCTAAAATGATTAAGTTGAACAAAATGATCTCAAAGGCTCAGTCCAATTACTCAAGTTCCATAGTTTAAAGAAATTCAAGAGGTTCCAATTAAATCTATTTGTTCCCCTACGGAGGAATGAATAGGAGGTTATGTCCTCACCCTTTCCTGCCAGCCCAAATCCCTTCAGAAAATTCAGCTTATCAAATATTTTTAGGTGGTGATAAGTTTATTGAAGCAGGAAAGCTTCATAACAGAAATAATTAACTCTGGGAATGAAGGTATAGTCATAATCACAATGCATTAATCTTCTGAGCATTCTTTTCTGCAGTGGCTATCACATATTATGTGTCTTTTGCCTATAATTGATACACCTTATTAGGAAATAACTTCTATTTTCATGTACCCTAATTTGTTTGAGACTCTAGTATGCCAGCTGGCTTTGTCTAAAATACTTGTAAAATTAGCCAAATAATTCAAGTACTACTTTCTTAATATTATCACAATCTTTAAAAAGTACTTTCTCATCCAACTAGCTTCAGTCCTTGCCTTTCAAAATGTATTTTGCTTTGGTATATAATCAGTCTTGGCATTCCCTGTCAGTGATTTTTTTTAATGAAATTCCAGGTTCCTACCTAAAATTCTCAGAAATATCTCCTTGACATCTGTTAATTTTTCTAAAAAGTCTCTTCTGATAGTTGACCTAATGCAGGAGTAGGACTTAAAGCAGCACAGGCGGCGCACACTGAACGTGCCACCTTTCTCTAGAAATCAAACATGTACTCGGGATGCCTTCCTACCCGCCTCCTCGGGAAAGATTAATATCCTAGAGGCAGCACAGGATGGAACAGAAGTACCTGCTCAGGTTGGTTGGCATTGGCGAGAGGAATGACCATCCAAATGACATTGAGGTTGATGAGGGCAGCACTGGTAGTGAAAGTACAGGGCAGGACTGCTGTCTGACCCCGGGCCACCTGGACACTCCCAGGGCTCTCTGAGACCTCCAGGGAAACCGTGACACCTACGGAAGAACCGACAGGAGGTTATGTGCCCATCCTTTCTGGACAGAAAGAGCTGTGTTTTCACATGACTAATAATGTATACAGACTATGACAGTCTTACTAAACAACTACTGACCAGTCACTGAGAAAAAGTAATAGAAACTGTTCATCCCTTTCTTTACCTCTTAGTAACTACAAATAGTAGAGGCTACATATTCCATTTTGTGAGACATTATTTGGTATTTAGCCAAATATAACATAGGAGAATTCAACTGACAGGGTTTGAGCAAAACTTGACACAGTGATGGGGATGAAAAATAAGGTTGATTTTTAAAAAGCATCATATTAGCACAACTTCAATACTAAACACTTGTACAAAAATCTAACAAAATATTTGCAGGAACTATAGCCTGAAAACTCTAAAATGCTGATAAGATAAATCAAATAAGACTAAATAAATGTTCAGCTATGGAATGGTCCTGAGGACTGGATGATTCAATATTGTTAAAGTGCAAATTTTCCCCAAAATGATCTGTAGATTCAGAGCAATCCCGGTCAATATCCCAGCAGGCTTTTTGTTGATATTGACAAACTAAAACACAAGAAAGTGGAAAGTGCTAGAATAGTCTAAAAGAATATTGGAAAATAATTTGGAGAATTCATACTATGTGCATACAAAGTTTGTTATAGCACTATAATGATCAAGACTGTGCTACTAGCACAAGGACAGACCACCAATAATTGAATTTTATACTTTAAGTAAGCCCTTATATTTATGGTCAAATGCTTTTCAACAATGGTACAAGACAATTAAATGGGGGAAAGAATCGGTTTTTTCAATAACTGGTGTTGGAACAATTGAATATTAATATGCAAAAAAAAAGTAACTCAGAACCTTGTCTCATAGCACACACAAAAGTCAACTCAAAATGTACCACAGACCTAGGCCTAGCCGGGTGGCTCAGCTGGTTGGAGTATCATCCCATATGCCAAAAGATTACATGTCTGATCCCCAATCAGGGCACATAACTAGGTTAGGGCACGTGCCAGAGGAAACCAATGGATGTTTCTCTCTCATCTCTCTCTCTCTCTCTCTCTCTCTCTCTCTCTCTCTCTCTGTCTTCTCTCCTTCCTCCCTTTCTCCCTCCCTCCCTCCCTTCCTTTCTAAAATCAATAAACATATCTTCAGGTCAGTATTAAAAATAAAAAGTGTGCCACAAACCTAAATGTAAGCTAAAACTATAAACCTTCTAGAAATAAACTTTGTGACCTTGGATTAGTCAAAGAAGTCTTAACATAGCACAAAAACCATAAATCATAAAAGAAAACAATTAATAACTGGACTTTATTAAAATTTGTAAAGCTTGTGTAATTCAAAATATTTAATTTTCAAAAATAAAACACCAAGATACAGACTTAGAAAAAAATATTTGTAAATCATATATCTAATAAAGGACTTGTTTAAAGAATATATAAAGAACTATTATTGCCGAAACCGGTTTGGCTCAGTGGATAGAGCGTCGGCCTGCGGACTGAAGGGTCCCAGGTTCGATTCCGGTCAAGGGCATGTATCTGGGTTGCGGGCACATCCCCAGTAAGAAGATGTGCAGGAGGCAGCTGATCGATGTTTCTAACTCTCTATCTCTGTTCCCTTCCTCCTGTAAAAAATCAATAAAATATATTTAAAAAAAAAAAAGAACTATTACAACGCCATAATAAAAAGACAAACAACCTATTAAAATGGATAAAATATGTTCAACATTCACTCATTAGGACACTGCATATTAAAACCACAATAAGATACCATTACACACCCACTGTAGTGGCTATAACCAAGACAAAACCAAGTACTGACAAGGACATAGAGAAACTGAAAGCTTCTCTCACTGCTCCTGGGAATGTAAAATAGTTTCAGTTTCTTAAGTAGTTTAACATAAACTTACTATATAACATGGCAATTCCAGCCCTAGGAATCTACCTAAATAAAACGAAAATATATGTGTACACAAAGACTTGTCTGTGAATGTTCATAAAAGCATTATTCATACCATACCCCCAAATGAAAAAACATTCACCAACTGGTGAATGGATAAACAAAATGTGGAATATCCATACAATTAACCACAAGAAATAAAAAGCAACAAGCTACTGATACATGTTACAGCATGGATGATGAGTCTTTCAAAAGTATTTTGCTGAATGAAAGAAATCAGATGCAAAAGACAGCAGCATCCTTTATTATTCCATTTATATGAAATGCCCAGCAAACACAAATCTATAGACAGCAAGCAAATCAGTGGTTACATTGGTTGGAGAGGAGGGAGGAGGGACTGATGCAAATAGGTTCAAGGACTTTTTAGGGTTATGGAAAACTTTTAAAACTGGAGTGCTGAATTTTATACTTTAAATGGGTAAATTTTGTGAAATATGAATCATACTTCAATATTTCTATTAACATTTAAAAGAAAGAAAGCAGTGGTTTACCAGAGCCAACTCCTGGGAAGCCAAAATCAACTGTTATCTCTTCTGAAAAGAATGCCTGTGCCCTGGGACTACAGAACAATATGGGACTAACAGGAGATAAAAATCCGTCAGGGAGAGCCAACAAAGAAGCTATTCTAATCACGAAAAATACATTAGGTCCATGGCAGTAACTCAAACTGTTTTATTTTGGAGTGGTATAATCTCAATTCTCCCAAAAAGAAGTAACAGAGTAGAATACTGTTATGATGACATTGAGTTTACAAAAATAAATGTACATAACACCTTCCTTCTATAGAACTTCATGTTCTTCACATACAGTCTGATGGTGTTCTCAGGAGTTAAATTTGCAGGATAAAATGTTTCATAAAACAAGCCCCATCTGAGGTGGAATACAAAGCACTTTATAACATTAGGGAAAGTCTCTAGGTTAAATAACACTAGGGAAAGTCTCTAAGTTTTAAAAAGGAAAGTTGGAAGAACCTTGGGTGTTAAGAGGCAGAACGGGGAGGTAATTTGATCATAGAACCAGCTGACCAGAGGAACAAGTGCATCATCAGGGAGAAGTGGGTTAAGGGAGTATGTGTTAGAATGATTATTATAAACTAGAGGCCCAGGGCACAAAAATTTGTGCACTCAGGGGGGTCCCTCAGCCCAGCCTATGCCCTCTTGCAGTCTGGGACCCCTCGGAGGATGTCCACCTGCTGGCTTAGGCCCGCTCCCTGGGAGATTGGGCCTAAGATGGTAGTCAGAAATCCCTCTGGCAGCCCGGCAGCCCTCGGGGGATGTCCACTTGCCAGCAGGGAGCAGGCCTAAGCTGCAGTCGGACATCCTTAGTGCTGCTGAGG